TTTGTTAACTTTGTTTGCTTGTTTTGCTGTCATGTGAGGTGGACATTTAGGTTTCTGTTCTGATCGTTTTAATTAATTAAGTAGCAAGCTAACGATAGCGATTTTCTGTTTCGTGGGATGAATCAGTTAAAAAATGGAGCTAAGGCGGAAGAGTCAACGCTAAGTAAAGAGACGTCGTCGTTTCGTGTTCCGGTACGTAATTTATACGAGCCTTTGTTTGTTCTTTAGCTCTTACGAGTCCGTGTGTTTTGCTTTCGGTTGCCTGATTTTTGTATTTGTTTGATTTTCTGAAATACTTAAGAGAAGTGGAGGACGCTTAGGGCGTCATTTATGGAGCTCAAGGTCATCGAAGTTTTACTATGGCTGCAGTAACGCCAGCGAGAGCTTTGAAAGTAAATTTTACTGGTTTAATACCTGTTGTTTAGTTTCCTATTTATTTGGAGATTTTTAGTGTTGATGATAATCTAGTGGTTTGTTTATGAATAATTGGAGCGATGTTAGTAGTAGTTGAAGAAGAAGATTAGAGTATTAACCACTTAAAGAAATTTTCTACAAAAGACAGAGGAGTTGGTCTTAATTGGAAACCAGCCTGTTTAATTGCAGAATGGTAACAGATTTCATGTCTAATTTTGTTGATTTATGGAGGGTTTTTTCTTTTCTTTTTTGGTTTCCATTTTTTGGGAGATTGAAAAATAGCATTGCGATGATTAAGGGTTTCGGGTTTTTTTATTTACTTTGAGTGTTAATGTCATCAGATGAGTTTAGACATTAATTTGATGGAGGTGTGTTGTTAGATGCAGCTGCTGATATGAGAAAGAATAGTGATCGGTACTTGTTGATTGCTACCAGTGGAGGGTTAAATCAACAGAGAACAGGGGTGAGTTTCTTAGATTTGACGTGTAAATTTGATACAATTTTTTCAATTGATAATTAACTGCAAATCGTTGGCCTGCCTTGAAATGGATAGGATGGTAAATTAGTTTGTGATTCTGAGATTCTTATGACCATTTTGGCCGCAGATAACAGATGGTGTTGTTGCAGCTTATATCTTGAATGCTACTCTTGTTGTTCCTAAGCTGGATCAGAAGTCTTTCTGGAATGATAGTAGGTATGTTGTTTTCGTTGTTAACATTCTCATTTCTGTTTGCTCAAATATCAGTGCGTTCATATTGTTCTGGTGTTTGATGCAGCGATTTTGCTCAAATTTTTGATGTTGACTGGTTCATTTCATTCCTATCAAAAGATGTTACTATAATCAAACAGCTCCATGCAAAGGGCGGGAAAGCGCTGAATCCATATAGGATGCGGGTTCCAAGGAAGTGTACTCCCACATGCTATCTGACGAAAGTTTTACCTGTTCTTAATAAGAAGCATGTAAGTGTTATGCTAAAAGTTTAATACTTGTGTTTATAGAGAAGCTTGTAAGTTGCACTTCCTTAAATTCTGTGTTTTTTTTCCTCACTTCATGATTGTATATTCCTACACGGTGCAACCTAATTATGTAAAAAGATTTCACAGGACATGATTTTATCACTCTATCTTTGTAGTTTTGTTTGCTAGAGTGGTGAATTTCAATGTTGCATCAGCAATAGATGCCTAGAGGAATTTGATCTGTCAGGCTAACCAAAACATACCTGTATATTGAAGTACATTATGGTTAATGTAGTTAAGATTTCAATTTATCATGTTTGAATTAGAATTCATGAAGCGATGCGCAAAATTGGAAATAATACAGCTACAGTTCCATCAACATTGGAGGATGAATTTATTATATAGGCAAACCTGGAAATTTCGGAAAGCAAGCATCCTTGGCCAAAAGCTGATAAATACATGTAATTTCAATGTAGAATTTTACATGTATAGAATCAGTGACATATGGACAGAATCTGCGCGGTTGTGAAACTGAAAGCCAAGTAGGGAGAGCAGAGGCAAAATATCAGAAACTGTTGGACATTCTTTTCTGTTTCATAATTTTAGAATGTTCTTTAATTTCACTTTCTCTAGCATTAATGACAAATTACTTGTTTTGCTTGAATGCTGCTTCAAATCTTGATTCTGCATGTTTATTTTAACTGACATTTGCTGGCTATCCTTTGATATCATAGGTTGTTCAGCTTGGAAAGTTTGATTACAGGCTCTCGAATAGGTTGGACCCAGATTTACAGAAGCTAAGATGCAGGGTCAACTACCATGCGTTAAAATTCACGGACTCAATTCTTGAAATGGGCAAAAAACTGGTTGAGAGAATGAGAATGAAGAGTGAGCACTTCATTGCCCTGCACTTGAGGTAAGGTCCTTCTCAATGCTTGATTTATTATAATCTTCTTTTAGAAACTTCTTTTTGTTATTTGAATCATTGCGGGCAAGATTTTTATTATTGAATTGCATTGGAGATTTTTTTTTTCATCTGTACTAAGTGTAGAATCGTCAACACAGTAGAGGGTCAGATGGGTTCGATAACACAAATTTAACGTTATCATGTTATAGGTTTGAACCTGATATGCTTGCATTCTCGGGATGCTATTTTGGCGGGGGAGAGAAAGAAAGGATGGAACTTGGCAAGATCCGGAGGAGGTGGAAAAGTTTACACGTGAGGCCCTCGTAGTTTCTCAGAACACATTCTGTATCCCAAACAGTTTACGAAGCATGGTTGATATGTTTATTTTGACGTGAAATGCAGACAAGCAACCCTGACAAAGAACGAAGGCAAGGAAGATGCCCTCTCACACCAGAGGAAGTTGGTCTTATGCTGAGAGCCCTGGGTTTCGGAAGTGATGTTCACTTATATGTGGCTTCAGGTGAAGTATATGGAGGTGAAGAGACATTAGCACCACTCAAAGCTCTCTTTCCAAATTTCCATTCAAAAGAGACTTTAGCCAGCATGAGAGAATTGGCGCCATTTTCATCATTTTCTTCTCAAATGGCTGCACTGGACTTCATTGTTTGTGATGAAAGTGACGTTTTTTCTACCAACAACAATGGAAATATGGCCAAGATATTAGCTGGTCGCAGGTATGTATGCAAATTATTTTTTGGTTTTATACACTGCAGTTTGTTCAGAAGCAATTCCAAAGACTGGTGAAGATATGTTTATGTGCTCTTCTTGTTTTTGTTTTCAAGTCCAGATGGCTTAACCATCAAAGTATTTCCTGCTGCAAACACAAATTTCTTTTTGGCTTTATACACAAAGTTATCACATCACATTTGCCTTTATAACATTTTAAAGACATATGAAATGTTCTTCGTCATTGCAGTTTCCTAGACACCCGCTTTATGCTGATGGCTTTGGCAGCTCACTTCACAGACTATAATATTTTTTTTGTCGCAGGAGATATTTTGGGCACAAACCAACAATTCGTCCAAATGCTAAAAAACTGTACAAATTGTTCATGAGCCGGCATAACAAAACATGGGAAGAATTTGCCTCCAGGGTCCGAACTCATCAAATTGGTTTCATGGGAGAACCAAATGAGGTGAAGCCTGGCAGAGGCGAGTTCCATGAAAATCCCTCATCCTGCATATGCGAGGATTCTGCAGCCAAGGCTAGTGCAGGTCTGACTCTGACTCCTCAAAATCGACTGGATGAGGGCCATAAAGATGCTAAAGAGAATATCAACAAGAATGAGACTAGTGATGTGACTGATGAGCTATCAATAGAGGATGATCAGGATTTGACTGACCTGGATTATGTGGACAATGGAACAGCGGTTAAAGGTAAAGGTCTGCCTGGTGAAATGCTTTTGGAGGAATTCTTTTCCGACTGAGGAAGGAGACCGCAGTTTCCGCATAACAAGAGTAATGAGTCCTTTAACCTAACCCGATTCTTCAACAAATTCTTTTCTATCTTCATCTCGGCCCTTCCCCTTACTTTTGCAACGTCAACAGTTTATCTTCCGCAACTGCATTGTGTGAAAAGATAAACTTTGTACATAGAGAGACGTTGGCAAATAGAAACTTTTTGTAAGTATAGCTGCTCCATTCATGTGGCTTGTTGTAGGTTGAAAGACACATCAGTGCCTGAAAACTGCACTTCTCTCATTTCCCCCCCCTTATTTTCCGGCGAATTACTCGCCGGAAGGGGAGATGGGTATAGAACTGGAGGGGCATGAAAATTATACCAGAAAGACAACTCAACAGTGAAAATAAAATAGAGGTTTTTTTTTTTTTTGCTCATGAGATTCTTTCTTTGTACTTGAATAGAAAAGGAAGTAGAAAGGAGACTTGGATATTAAAATACAGCAAATTGAAAATGATTCAATATAAAGCTTTATTTATTTTGTTGGGTGTGGTGTTAGCATTTTTGTTGTTATAATAATTTGCAATAAATTGGAATGACTTCTTTGCTTGGTATCATTCCCCTTTTAAAGGGAGAACATTATGATCATTCACCATTTCTTATTATTTTTTTCCTGTATATGTATATTGGACTTGCGATAATTAATTGAAAATAGTTTCTTTACAAATGTAAGGTAATAAAGAGCTTTTTTTCTATTTGAAATCATATTTAATTGTTCTTAACTATCATAATTATAGAGTAATTAACATGAGGTTCGATAAATCTTTGTGATTCATTAGATGAATATATGTAATAGTTCATAATAACTTGTAACAAAGTGAATAATATTTATTTTCTTTTTAAAATAAAATTTTATTCTTGAGTTATGATTATGTCATTTATCAATAACTATCACAATTAAAGATGATTAGTTAATTTACTGGGTGATAATATCAATTATTATGACATCATAAATATTTTTTTATAGTTTATAATTTGAAGTCAATATAATTAAAATGTATTAAAATAACTATAAAAAAATTGTCAATATAATCAAGTATAAATTGAAGAACGACATCGTGTTGTTCCCAGAAAGAGGCGCCAAAGGGCCGGTCTTTGTCGTTAGTAGTTGGAGAGAAATACACGTGGCAAAGATCCTAATCCATTTGAGAGAACGACGTGGCCGCATTCACATCCATAATCCTCTGCCCTTTCTGTCCTCTTAGTTTCTTCCCCCGCCCCTCTCCCTCTCTCTCCCCCTGCCTCTGCCTCTGCCTCGCTCCCATAGCAATGGCGTGCAAGCTTCCAGCTCAGCTAGCAACCCCAGGAAAACTCCATCACCACTGTCAATTCACCATCACATCCGCCTTTATTCCCCTCTCCTGGCGTAGGACTCTGTCACCAGAACCTCTCCTCTCTCTTTCCACCTCATTTCCTTCAGGGAAGTGTAATGGAAAGCAACTTGTGACATGTAGTGCTATTGGGACTGCAGAGGCAACAGGGGCAGTGAATTTAGGACCAGGGACTCCAGTTAGACCAACCAGTATATTAGTTGTAGGAGCCACTGGTACTTTAGGCAGGCAAATTGTGAGAAGAGCCCTTGATGAAGGCTATGATGTTAGGTGTCTTGTTAGGCCTAGACCTGCCCCTGCTGATTTCCTTCGTGATTGGGGTGCCACTGTTGTCAATGTAAGATATTTTTTGCTTTCCAAAATAGGGTTTTTTATTTGCTTCAGATGGATTTTTTGGATTTTGATATTGTTTTCTCAATGTTGATATGATGAACAGGCAGATCTTAGTAAGCCTGAGACTATACCTGCAACAATGGTTGGGGTTCATACAGTTATTGACTGTGCTACTGGGCGTCCCGAAGAGCCCATTAAAACGGTAGGAAGATATCTGTTTAATTTCTTGTTTTCTAGCTGGCCAGTCACTTGGTTCGAAAAAGATTAGATGAAAAAGAGGAACTTATGACAAAGAAGACGTATTATACCATCTTTGCTTTAAATGTAACTATATCTCATCAGTGAATGAAAGGCCCATAAATTTACTGTGATTGTTTATATTCAAGAAAATGTTAAATTTTGCTCTTGGCCTCATCTAATCTCTCTGTTCTATTTAGGTAGATTGGGAAGGAAAAGTTGCTCTAATACAATGTGCAAAAGCAATGGGAATCCAGAAGTATGTGTTCTATTCTATCCACAACTGTGACAAGCATCCTGAAGTTCCCCTAATGGAGATTAAATATTGCACTGAGAAGTTTCTTCAGGACTCTGGTCTAACCCACGTCATTATCCGTCTATGTGGTTTCATGCAAGTAAGTGTAGAGCAAACTGTGTTCTTGTTGGTGGTGGTGGGGGGTGTGTTACCAGCTTAGTGTAATTCTGTTTGTTAGCTTTACATCTCCCATCAGAGCTCTTCATCTCTGAATCCTCATGGAAATGTGCATTAGTTCCTTGATGCATTTAAAGCAGAAACTAATTTGAGATTGCTTTTTATCCTTGCCAAACTAGCAGGAACATGATTATCTGGAAAATTTAAGCAGTGATTTGTTCACTCCTGAATCGATGTTTCCTTCTACTTCTATGAAGTCTTAAATTTGCCTTGCTTTCTTTCTTCCACTGTTATTCATTTATTGAGTCTGAATGTTTGTTGCTAATTTAATCAGGGCCTTATTGGGCAATATGCAGTACCTATTCTAGAAGAGAAATCTGTATGGGGAACAGATGCCCCAACAAGAATTGCATACATGGATACCCAGGTTAGAATTTCACAATTGCTTCTGTGATTAATCTTTTGGAGTCAGTTAAATCTGCTATTTTTTTCCCTCCAATTGCTGCCTAAAAATTTCACATGTCAATAGGATATAGCTCGACTGACACTTGTAGCATTACGGAATGAGAAAATTAATGGGAAGCTCCTCACCTTTGCTGGCCCTCGAGCTTGGACTACTCAAGAGGTAAGAGATATACCAATGTTTGACCTTGATTAAGGTCACATCGTTCCGTCGTTTCGGAAGTCTTTTTTGCTGTCTGATGATCTCTGGCCGATCATACCATGCTGTTGTTTAGTGGGTTTGTTAGTTCATGCCTTCAAGGTTTCCTTTCCTTTTGTTATGATGTTAATATTTCAATGCATTGGGTTGGAATGATATCCATTCACTTGGCTTAGGTCATAACATTGTGCGAGAGGCTTGCGGGGCAGGATGCAAATGTTACTACTGTCCCAGTCTCTGTCTTAAGATTCACTCGTCAGTTGACTCGGTTTTTTGAGTGGACAAGTGATGTTGCTGATCGGCTAGCATTTTCAGAGGTAATAAATTCTTATATTTCCTTCCACCTTCCAGCCATGTTGCACGAAGCAAGTGGTTTATCTGCGAGTGCTTCGTCTTGCGCTAAAGTGCTGACCATGTGAAAGATTGTTGTAGTTATGAAAGATCTCTCGGAAATGTACGAATATTATTGAAATGATTAATGGTTTTCACTAATAATCATCATTATATGTGATTATATACCATGAATTCACCTTCAAGGGATGGATTGAACTGTCTGCCCTTGTCAACCTTTTCACATCACCTCTGATGAGGACTTTAAATAATCATTTTTTTATCCATGACTTAGCTTTGCTACCTCTCAATTGTCCTTTATGTCAAATTTTTTCTTCTATACTCTATTTCCCATTTTACCGTATATAGAATAAATTGAAAACTAATAATATTTGTACGTAACTGAGCTCACTAATCTCCCCTGCGAGGCTTGCAGGTCCTTACAAGTGATGTTGTTTTTTCCGCTCCGATGACTGAGACATACAGTCTTCTAGGGGTGGAGCAGAAAGATATAGTTACACTGGAGAAGTATTTGCAGGATTATTTTACAAACATATTGAAGAAACTGAAAGACCTCAAAGCACAATCAAAACAAAGCGACTTCTACATCTGAAGAAGCAAGATTATGTTACTGTAAATGAAGCTATATATGTATTTAAGCACAAGTTTTGTGTTTGGCAAAATGTATGAATAGGCAACGCCATTCATATTCCGCAATTTGATCCTCGCTCTTTTCTCTATTCCACTTTTTCTGTCTTTTCCTTTGGTCAAAATTGAACAGTGAAGAATTACTCAATACTAAAAGGTATTAGCTTTTGGAATTACTGCACTCTCTCTCTCAACATTCCGTGGATTGAAGCTGCGTATTTTTATTTTAATTCTCAAACTTTGTAATTATATTATTTGATTTTTTTTAACTTTAATTAGCTTTTAGTTGCATTTTTTTTTAGAAAAAATTGAATTGAAAGATAAGGGATTGAAGTGAAAATATCATGTAACACAGAAATTTTTTGTTAATATATTCATTTTAATTCTTTAGTTTTTTTAAATATTAGGTGATGAGTTCCTTAAATTTTTAAAAATTATTATATATATTTAATTTTATTTTTTTGGTTAAGATGAGAGAGTGAACTGTAGATTTCAACTTAAAGAATAAAAATGATCACCAGGAAAGATCGTGATTATTCGAATGATTTTTTTTGTTATGTCAAGATTCTGTATGATGAGAGGGTTATATTTATACATTTGTTTTTATCTTCAAACACCTAAAAAACATATTTGAACTCAAGAAAATTTTTTATTTTAGGTGAATTTTTTATTTTAGGATGGTTTATTGGATTTTTGATGGTCATAGATTGGCCTAACAAGGTCTTTAGAGTCTTTTTTAATTATATTGGGTCTAAATAAATTGAAAATACATTTTTGAATGAAAAACAAATGATTTTATTTTTCCAGCTATCACAATAACCCAATTCTAGATTGAAAAGACAACTTTTTTACTAACACAGATGGCACATCATTTTTTTATAAATATAGTTAGAGTGGACAATGCATCACTTGTTCCATTAAACTTTTTTAAAAATAAAGGTTCGTGCTTGGGCTTGGACTTAGAGGCTTGCGCGCAGGTTATTATTTTATTAGATTAAGTATCGAGCTTAGCCCAGTAGCGCCTAGTCTAATTATTTTTTTGTAAAAAAATAATACATTATTTGTGTGTATTTTTTAAAATAAATTGTGGATTTATGATTTAATTATATTGTGATTATTTTAAATAATATTAGGTGTGTTTATTTTTTAAAGAGATAGCTATGATTCATCTGTTTTTTTCTTAATTTTATATGAATTAATTTTTAAAAAAATATTGATTTTTTATAGGATTTTCCACATGTGTAGCCTTGTATTTTTTAATTAATATTCAATAAATTTTATGTGTGTATTGGTTTCTATTATAAATTTATTTTCATATAGAAATTCATTAAACATAATTAGGTCAATTGCCCATGTTACTATGTTAGATATTTTTATCTTTATTTTTCACTTGGTTTTTTTAATTTTTTTTAATTATTGATGAATTTTTTTTATTGCTTTACACAGTGGTTATTGATTTGTTTAATTAGATGAGTGCATAAGTTTTTCAATTTAAATCTAAAATATTCTTTTAAATGTAAAAAAACATGTTGAATAATTTTGTATATTTATTTTTTATCATGTTTTGATGTTTAAGATTTTATGTTTATTCTTATGATTTTTTTATTTTTTTCTTGAATCTTTTATGAAAGTTTCATTGTTTTTAGTTTTGCCATTCAACCCAAGTTTGTAGTGTTTTTTTTTTTTTTTTTTTGATTTTTGTCATTTTGTTAATGTTTTTATTATTTTCAATTTAATTCTCAAATTTAAAATTTATAGTTGCCTTTTGATTTTCTTATTGCAATTTTAACACTCATTATTTTTATTGTAATTTTTTATTTTGAATTTTTTGTGTTTTTATTTTAACCCTCATTATTTTTTCATGTTTAGTGCTTTTAGTTTTATAACCAAGATCATAGTTTAAAAAGTTAACATTGATTGATTTTTTTATCTTATTTTTTTCTATTTATTTTTTTTTATATACAATTATTTTATTCTCATTTAATTTTTACTTTATTAACAAATAAGATCATTGAGACCTTTTAAAAATATTATGAAGATATATTTCTATAATATTGACAATTGTTTATCTTTTATATTGAATCGTTATTTTTTTTATTTTATTTGTTAATGATATCATTATTTTCTAATGAAATTATTAAACTAAATTTATTAAACTCATTTTACCTCAATATTATATATTTTTTATTTTAAAAAATATTTATCTCTTTTTAATATTTTTTTTAAATTAATTTGCTGCATATTCCGGTTCTCTAACCAGCAGAAAACTACAATGCCTTCTTTCATGAGAGTTAATCGAGTTAAATAGAGAGAGAATTTTAGGTGGTAACATTTTTTTTCATCTACTTGTGTAATGGACTATGGAATTGGTGGGAAACTCCTTCCAATTCTTATGAAGGCCTTAGGCCTAGTGGTATTGACTAAATTCCTTACCGTTCACCTAGCCTAACATTGTTTTAAAAATATTTTAAAAAAATAAAAAATATTTTATTTTAAATTTATAGTTTTTTGGTATTATCAGATTATTTTGAAATACTAATATTAATTTTTTTAATATATTTTAAAATAAAAAACAACTTTAATCATATTTTTAAACTCAATTTAATATGCCACAAGGCTATAGAGTTCAGTGCTCAAGCCTGAAATGTCATCTCATTTCAGGCTTTAGTTGTTGTCTTTCAACAAAAATCATAGGCTGGGGGTTACTGGATTACGATGACTGAAAAAAAAGATGCAATACCTGATAACTTATATATAGGATTTTCATATAATTTTATGTTAACTTATATACATGATAATTAACTTTATTTTTGATTTCTTAGTAAATAACCGCTATTCCCAGTTACAGTTGTTACAAAAACAATACCATGGCGGTTCTGTTTACTGTTTAATTTTCCAAATACTGTTCTAACTTTTACTACGAGAATGTGTTAAAATGGTAAAATACAGTATAAATCTGTTGTTCATAGCAGTGGCCAGCCCCATGCCCACGTGATGCTATATCTCTGTCATCCATAGCATAGGTTGACGAATGAGCTGAGAAGAGTGCTGACTAGACCTGTCACCCTCTGGTCGAAGGATGAAGGTAAGACACAGGCAACAGGCCTGTCCACTTTAATCCAGGTTTCTGATGCGACTGCCAAGCTATAGATCCGAGGGGCCTGTTGTGTTGACTTTAATGAGGGCTAGTTTGTGCTGTGCTGTGCTCGATCGCCCTTGTCTAATAATAGAACAGAAGACTTCACTGCACATTAAGTGGCCATTGTGATGCACGGTCGAGGAATCTTAGCTCCCTCGTCTCCACTCCTCTATCCTTTGTTTCTTGCTTCTTAAATTTCCTTCTTAATACTACAAATACATGATTTAATACGTTCATAAATGTTATTTTTACAGCAATTAATCTCCTTTTGAATCTTCATCCAAAATGATAATATGGAAAATACAACTTCGGCAAAGCTTTCTACTACTCTTCTATTTCTAGTTCAGAATCGGATAAATTGATAAATACCCTTATTTTGTTTTATTTCAGAATTTGGTGGGTCACCTTAGAAAAGCTACAACTGGTTGCCTGTCATTTGTGCAGCCAATTTACCGGCAAAGATGCATGGAATTCCAAGTAAGAAAGAAGCTACAAGTGAAAAGGAGCAAATGATAAGTGGGAGGTCGAAGTTGTATAATGCATGATTAGCTATTTGAAATTCTAATGAAATGATTACTCTCTTTTTTCTCTTCTTTTTTCCCTATGAAAGATCAGGAGATGGAGAGGGCCAACAAAGTCTTATACATCACCAAGGAGGAGGAGGAGGAGGAGCCACCTATATTATCATGCAATGAACCAATCACTGTCAAATAATTGGGAAATCTGATTGGAAGCCAGCATTCATGCCTTGCAAGATTATAACTCTTCTAATGATTACAAAATGAATGAGTGCTTGTTAGTGATTTGGTTGCAACTCCTTCTCAATAACCACTAATGATCTCACTTATTGGATCCTAAGAAAACTACCGTCACTTTGGTTTAGAAGAAGGAATGATATTTTTTTATTTTAAAATTCATCAAAATAATATATATTTATTATTTTTAAAAATTTATTTTTGATATTATTACATAGAAACTATTTAAGAACATAATTTTTTTTATAAAAAAAATCATGAAATAATATATAAAATACAATTCCAAACAGCACCTTAATAGTAATATAATAATATAATATGAGCTGAAAAATAATTATATGTATTTATAGATAATTTTACTATCAAGATATCAAAATAATTTCTGTAACGATACCATAAGCTTATTTTTCTTAAAATATATATACTAGCTGAACCACTAGGTAATTTTTATTAGCTAAAATGTTGAATTAGAGTGCGATTAAAAGAAGAAAGTGTTGATAGCCGCGGAAGTCGTGGCCTATAGGGCCTGATGGGCCTGGGCTTCCCGAGGGTCAAATGAGACATGCTTAGGGGTCGGTAGGTGAAATAAGAGAGAGTTTTGTAGGCTTGTGAGTCTGTACCTCTCTGTCACATGCTTACTGTACCAAAATTTAGGACAAACATATCTTGAAATACGCATAAAACGACAGCACAAAACCAGCACTATTCACCAGCTCATGCACTGGTCTGGTCTCCCTCACAAAATACTCTCTTCTTTTTAGTCTCTCTGTGTCCCTGTACTCATGTCGACGCTGTTCTTATCTCCTACACCACATAGCTTGAAATTTTCAACATGGAGTGCAAAAGTAATATACATAGAGAAGGTGAAAATGGTTTGATGTGCGAGAAATCTCTCTTGTATAAAACCTTTTATTTATTTATTTTTTCACGAACTTGGAAATCTAAAACTTTAACTTCATCTCCATGCCCGGCTTTCTCGTATTCCCATGAGAGCAACATGATTAAGAAATCCTCACCACTATCTGATAGAGTGGAATTGAAAAGATGGATCTGTATCGAGGATTCTGCACAAAGTCCCCAATACTTTAAGCTTTTTAAAGATTGGTAGGACAGTCACAGTACGGATATTCTCACCTTTATTGACCTTGATTATGTTTTTATTTTGACTTGACTCTGCTAATCTTGATTAAGAGCATCATCACAGTAATCTTCATAATTATGACATGTTTTATACAATACAACACCCAACAACATACGCTCATTTCTCACCTCATGGTGTTTT